AAAAAAAAAAAGAAAAAATCTTTTGTATTTCAAGAAAAAAAGTACGATATTATACTAGCCATTATAAGTTGCAAGAAATTGAGGGCATTTTCTAAGAAATAATCTTTGTATTTCTGTTAATTTCGTTGCATTTGCTTTCAGATCTTTAAATATTTGTGTATAAGTACTTGATGTTACACAATTCATTACTGGTTGAAGTAATGGAAGAAATAAACTATGATGTAAATCTGCTGGTAAACGTTCTTGTATGCTAGTAAATATGTTTAATAAACGTAAGATTTGTTTTGTATAACGTCTACTATTTTTGATGTTTAATATTTGTTCTATTTGATTTAAAGAATTTGCTAATGCAGTAAGAAATGTTATATTAGTTATCCAATGTAAAGTTTTCGAGACATCAGGAACATGTTTAATTAAATGTTCAAGTAGTATAACTAAATTTCGAAGTACATATGTTGCTAGGTCACTTAATTGATATTTTGTGTGTAATTCTTGTAGAAGAACTTGTATTGTATTTCGTACAAGAATAAAAAAATAATGCGTATTAACAGAAGGTAGTGATGGTGGTGAAGTTAAGTTCAATGCGTGAACTATTTTATTTAAAGAGATAAGATATATTGAAGAATATTCTTTAGTAGCTTTTAGTTCACGAATAACATCATCTAATATAGTTGATAATTCTTGTGCATCAATATATTTTGTTTTGCGTCGTATTGTTAAAATGTGAGCAGTAATAACCTGTGAAACAGCTGGTGGCTGACGAACATGTTCTGCTTGACGTGCCATTGTTTGTAAGAAAAAATTTTGAATATGAAGACAAAAAAATTTTTTATATGTACGATAATAATGCCAATTATTATCAACTTGTTTTTATATTTATTTCAAAGAATGACGATGTCGCCTTGAAGTATATATAACCTTGATTTATCGAAGAAGCTGAATAACCCGTTAATTTCATGGTTTTATGAAGCGTAACGACGCATTCACGATTATTATATTTGATACACATCTCCCTGATTTATGATAGAAAGCGATATGTCACTCATTCTTCACAAAAAATCGATCTTTTTGATATTTTATGCATTATTGGTGTGTCATGTTCATTTGTTTAGAAGGATATTTAAAATATATATTTCAGAATCTTATAATTACTGTAAAAAAAGCTGATTAAGTTTTGTATTTACATTAAATTTATCTTGGCGAAATGAAGTAGACGAAATAGATATAGTATGACGGATTTTTATCTTTTCTTTCCTACTTCATAGTGAGAGTACGTAAAAAATAAGTCGTGATAATATGTTTTTCATAAGTGTTTGTTTCGTACACCCACTTTGTTGGTCTCGTTTTGCTCTCATATTATACTGTTTACAATCCTCGTATATTTTTTAGTAAGGTATACACATGTAAAAAATAAATCGCCGATGATTTCGATGTCAGTTTATTAAGTGCAATCAATAGATCATTTATAAAATACGTATAATGCGTTTTTTATTGTTAAGGTTAAAAAAAAGAAAAGAATAAAGGTAATACATAAAACAGATACAACCAACATGTTCATATAGACGTATATAACATGACAATATACTTTCATAGATAATGTCCTTCATTCTTCGCCAGATATTATATTTTCACAATTATTCTCATACTACTCATATATACATACATCACTCATCTAATAAAACTTTCAATAATAAACTATAACACATAAAAACATTTTACAATATAAATGTATTCATTCTACGAAAATTAACTGCAACATTCACATACATATCTCAATGCAATATTTTTTTTTCTTATTTATGTCGAAATTAGTTTCAAGCAAACTGTTTATTAGAGACAACCGTTTAGAAAAATATTTAACTTGTAGTTGTATATTCATATCACTGTTTTTTTTTCTAAGTCAATGTACTTTGACTACATTTTGGATACTTTTATATTTTACACTATAATTTTATTCAAACAAATGCCATCGACAACATAAATCTACATAATTATTTATTCTAAATCATGTTTAATTTTTTCTACATGAAAAAACAAACAAAAATATAATTATAATGATTAACGGCGACCCTCAAGAACTATAGAATGACCTGATAAATCTGTTAGTCCTGGCTAACAATTACCAGATCTTTGACATAGAAATGTGTCATATATAAATATATGATTGTCAGCCGACAATTTCCTTTTATGAAATAGTTATTAAATATATGTCTAGTAATCATAAAAGAAATAAATAAGTAAAGAAAAAAAGCATGATATTTGTTGATGTAAACTATGATATAATGTTACGTGAATGTGAAGTAATTATTTACGTTTCTCTTTCTTTTTTTCAAAATAATATTTTTGTTAGAAAAAAATCATAGCAGTTAATTAAGTATTTGGAAAGTTAAGATAGAAAATATTACTCAGGATTGATCGCAAATAATATTTAAAAGTTTATAAGATAGTTAATATCGACAGATTTTTGTACATGAAGATATAATATAATAATATTTCATTCATTTAGTTCTTTTTGTCTGAATAAATCAATTTTTGATAGAATCTTATTTAAACTGGTAAGAAGAACTTTGTATATCTCTTAATAATGATTACTTTTGTTTGATGCTATTCCAATGTTCAGTCAATCTTAAATAATTTAGATTAGTCTATTCAAATTTTGTAGAAGTTAAGAAGTAATGTTTTATTTTCTCTTCCCTTCTAGATTCATAGTTGACATGGTGGGATTAGAAGAATGAATAAGTACTAAATGAAAAGAACGATCATGATATATTAAGAATTATAGAAAATCAGGAAGTCAGGCTTTCTGCTGTTTTTTGAATAAAATAATCTCGTCTTTCAAAGAAAGTGTTTTTTTTTGCTTGAAAAGTTCGTGATAAAGAATTTTTATATGCATCTTTCTCGAATCAAGTCATAGTCATTAATATAATCACTTAATACTTTTATTAATTGTTTAAACATAATTACAAATTTCTCATCAAATACTTCTTATACTGCCTAGTTCTTTGTAACTAATTATTCCCACAACAAACAAGTACCTAATAGATTTATGAACCAATTCTATAGAACTATAAATTTCTTTTATCATCTTTTTTTCATCAATAAAATATTTTAATTTTCTCACCGTTCTATTGTATACCCAGAAATAAATCTTTTCAGATACTATCAATAAGAAAAATATTCTAACTGATTTATATGGAATTTTACTGCACATAAAAGCTATTACCGTGTAAATTTTTAAATAATTCTCATCTTCTTGATATTATATATCTATTTTTCTTTATGTTCATTTGAGATTAACATATCACATGACGTTAATGAATTGAATAAAATTTTTCTTTTTACTCCCACCTAGTGCTTTTAAACTATGAGAAATTTAATACAAGATTTAATTATTAGCTTGAATGCTTGATTACTGCTGTTGAAGAGTTTTCAGGCATAGAACACCAGGGTGAAATTCAATTTCCTGTATTTAATTAAGGTGATATTATCTGACAGATAAATAAACTCTCTATATTTATATTTCAATACTATATCAACTTTTGACATAAGCAGTTCAACTTCTAAATATAATACTGTTACTTTGTTGTTCTACTGATCGTTAGTCTATTAAAATGAATTTTAAGAGAATTAATTAGGATGTTACTTTTAACAAAAAACAATATTTCATATAATTATGTCAAGTTTTTGTATGTATAGGATAAAGAACATGTCTTTTCTTTCAAAAGATAAGTGAAAAGCTACATTTTCTTAGATCTGTTATTTCCGATGAAGCTAAAAGCATTCGCGTAGAAAGAACAAAATTACTAGAATCTAATCCGAATAAAATCCAGCGCAGAAAAAAAAAAGCGAGAGTCTATTATATAAACGAGAAAAAAACATGGTAGGTACACATAGGTTAATATATTTATAGTAGACAATATGAATCTGTAAGATGCAAAAGTCGATAGTACGTTAATTCGAGATATCCTTGAGCTAGTTAAAACAACATAGAAGACAAATTATCTTTTTTGTAGAAAATCATGTTAATTTAATATTTATATAATAGAACCAGATTAATATTAACTTCTTAATATACATATAAATTAATAATTTAATAATTATTCTAATAAGGTATACATAAAGATAATTACTATTCATATTCTAAGAAAAGTTTTAGATCAGATAGTCGTACTTCCAGAATATTTTTATAACTCAGCAAAAGAAAACGTTTTTTTTTTTTCTATAAATAATTCTTGTTATTACCAAGACTACGATGACCGTGTAAGATACGACAGACAAGGGAACCATCTGTTAATGAATACGAATTATATATATATATTCATTTTTATTGTTTACTATATATATGACAACATAAACATGTTTTTTTTGTATGAGTTGAAATAGATTCTACATGCTTTTACTTCTTATATCCTTAGAGATATCAATATGTTTTTCAAATTATTTTTATGTAATTTACATTAGATTAGATTTAAGTAAATCATTCTATTATAATAATACTCTTGATTTACTTTAGCAGTTAATCTTTACGTTCCCTTGATTATGACAATAAAAAAAATAACGGAAATATAATATAAATAGTAGCAGAAAAAATATTTTGACAGATTGATTAATATTTTCATTGACGATAAAATTATGCTATGAAAATTGCCTTCTTCTTTTTTTATTTAAATAGAAATATATGAGTTATTTTAGTGTTCTAATTAAGAAAAATTAGTAAGTTTCTTCATCTATGAACAATCTCTTCAGATCTAATTATTTCTTGAATTAAAAACAAAATAAATCTTTTATTTATTATAAAATAGACTGGCTAAGTGCTTACTTAATACCGGATGTACAACCATCAAATAACTCTATCATATAGTTAATTATTACCATTAACGACCCTTTTCTCAATATAAAATAACAAGTTTTCATTTTATCAATTGACAATATGAATATTTTTGTTACAAATCTATAGACGATATAATAATCGATTAATTGATCAAGTTTCTTTCTTTCTTTTTCTCAGATCGAATAATATATCAAATATTAATCAATGTCGTCAGAACTCTTTCTTTCTCTACGCGATTAGGTAAATAGATATTACTTGAAAAGAATTTGGGGGCGAAAATAAGAAAAGAAAAACACTCATTCATCTCATCTCGACTTATTTTTTCATATCACGCATCTCTTTATTATATTTTTTTTTCTTCTTCTTCTTTTTTCTATACTAGAATAAAAATAAAAGGATAGACATTGACGGAAACAAAATACGACAACATTAATGGATAGTAATGATGACAATGTTACAAGAGGACTTGTACGTGCTATTTTAACATTTACTGAAGAACAACGTAACTTATCTAATGTACAATCTGTATGTCAATTTATTTATTGTAAATTTTCTATGAATGACCAAGATGATAATAATGAAACATGTTATGTATCAACAACAAAATTATCTTTCTCTCATGATACAGATGTAAACGATAATTTATATTTTATTTCAATTGCAAAATGTATTCAACTTTATATTTATCCAATATTTATATTTCTTGGTATATTTGGAAATAGTTTATCATGTTTTATTATGTTTCTTAATGTACGTCGTAATGGTTATTCAGCAAATTTTTATTTAACAATATTAGCATTTGTTGATTGTTTATTTTTATTAGGTAGTGCATTACCTAATTGGATATCTCGTATAAATAATAAACTTGATATAAAACTTTTTTCGGATTTATGTTGTCGTTTTGTTTATTGGTTTGGACATTTTACAACACATTTATCAGCTGGTCTTGTTGTTAGTGTTACTGTTGAACGTTTTATTGCAGTACAATATCCATTACGTGCACCAAAAATTAATTCCGTATCACATACACATATGGTATTAATTATTTTAATAACTTTCTTCTTTCTATTAGATAGTCGAGTTTTTATTCTTGTAAAATATTTTAATGAACATATACATATTGTATCAACATGTCCAAATGATACGAAATATGAAAGACATGATATACTTCGTTGTGATGTAACAGATGAACAAAATGAACAAACATGGGTTTTTATTGATTCTGCTGTTTATACTCTCATACCATTTTTCATTATTGTTACATTTAATTCTCTTATTATTTATCGTTTAATTCAAGCACAACGCCTACGACAAAGTATGTCTTATTTCAATGGTAAATCATTAAAATATGGATATGAAAATTTACGTCAGAACATGTCTGATGATCATCCATCAATAAATAACAAATATAAATATTTAAGACGTTGTCGATCAGTTCCAATTAAAAGATCAAGACCAAGTAAACTTCATCCACGAACAAGTAAAAATCTTAATGTTATCTAAGGAATACATATAATCTTAATCTATTTTTTTTATTTATATAGGTGAACGTTCTAAACATCTCAGTACGAAAACATTGGATCTATCTCCGACACCATCATTAGAACTTCAACATCGTCCTGATCATCATTATGAAAGTTGTTTAATACGTCAAACAACACATATAAATAATAAACGTTTAACAATATTATTACTTTATGTTTCATTTTCATTTTTAACTTTAACATTTCCAGCTGTTGTACTTAATTTAATTATTTCGATAAAACCGAAACCACAATCATTAACATTTCAAAATTATCCAAGTGTAACAAATTATAATTTGGATTCAAATACAATTCTTTATTATTCAATAACACGTTTATTAATGATTATGAATCATTCAATAAATTTTATACTTTATTTTGTTGTTGGTAAACGTTTTCGTCGTGATTTAAAACGGATTTGTTGTGGTTATTAAGAAGAAAAAAAGAAGTTCCTTATCGACAATCTCAAATTATGATTGATTATTGTTAAAACAAAAAAAAAGCAGAAGCTTGTCGTTTTTTTTGTGATATTGACAATAAAATAATATTGTTTTTTTTGCTTCTGTATTTTGTTCACTAAATATTTGATGATTTATTTTGTTTTGAATTGTAAATGACATGTCAGACATGTTCGAAGAAAGAGCAAATAATTTTTTTTTGTTAATAATAAAATGTTTTCATTAAAAATAACTTTCATTTCTTTATTAATACTATTCTATATTATATAAGATTTATATAAGAAAAAAAGAACGTCAAAGAATTTGCTGACGTTTTTAAACTAAGATTAATTCGATTAAATAGCAATTATTATTTCTAGGTCGTTTTTGATATACTAAACTTAAATCTGATTAAGAATGGATTTTGTATGACGTAAAAATTTAGAAAGAAAAAAAAAATGTATTATTAGTCATCTTATTATCTAGTTCTTTATACTATTTTACAAGACATCAATGTCTTTCTTTTTTTTTTTCATTTTACATATTCTGTCTATCAAAATAGCTCATACTGTCAGTCTTTTATATTCTTATATTAATTTAGTTTTTCTCTCTATCTTGAAGTATCATTAGACAAATCTCAATGAAACTATTTCCCATATGGGATCTCATTTATGCACTGTCATTCTAAGAGAAAAATACTACTCGACTTTGTAGTTCATCAATTATAAGATTCTTCAAGTTCATATTGTCATTTTGATATTTGGTTTATCTAGTATAACTTTCAGCTACCATGTAGCCGGTGGTTGTATTATCATGTAATTATTGCCATTATTTTGCATTATAATGCATTTTAGTCCAATTATAATGCAAAATAATGGCAATAATTACATGATAATGCAACTATTGGCTACATGGGTATACTATGTATTGAAAACTCATTATGATTTGTTTATAGTAAAATTATAATAACTGCTGTTGTAAAAGTCTACATAAATAATTCACAATTAATTGTAACTCTCGCTTAGAGGGAAGATCCAGATTAAAGACTATGAAGAATTTGAATATATTTACATTCAATTTCATATGAAAATTAATTTAATCTTCTTACAATCAGCGTTAAATATTTAGTAAATCTCTATGACGTATTTCAAACTTACTTATCTCTATTTTTTACTTTATTTGCTATTCAAATCAAATTTGTTTTCGTCACCCATTGAATAAAACTTTTTATTACATTAAAAAAATATTAAATAAATTTTCCATTTTTAGTAATAAAAGCTGTTATGTAAATATTATGAACAATAATATTTATCTAAATACAATAGTAAGTTGCAATTTAACGATAGTTGAAAGGGATGAAAGAGTAATAACAAATGTTGACGGTTGTAAAAGTCAATTTTTATTTTAGTATGTTTCTATAGGAATAATATTATTTTCCTGTTTCATTGCATTTTAACTTACATGGTTGATTACTATCATTGTCGTTCAATTCAGAAAAATGTAGCTTCATATAAACATTTAATAATAAACTAATCTTTCTTCTTAGTGTTGCATCATGCATTTTTTCGTTAATAATCTTTTAAATGGAACTGTTTGTACAATGAATATAATTACATGTAATTGTCGCGAAGTAAACTTTACAATTCCAATATACAAACTCTAGTGAATTCCATTTCTTGTATATAAGAACTATTTAAGTTAGAAACATATAAACACATGAAAATTTTGTTTGAATACATGTGATATCATAAAGATCCACTCGTCTAAGTAATAGATAATGCATTTTAGATTGAATAATATTTTTATATTGAAAAATAGTATCTTGAATTTTTAAATATAAAAAATTAAATCTAGTGAAGAAAACTTTACTTCAATTACTTCTAATCAACAAGACAAGAATGAGTATATCATATTATACAAATTAAAAGAAGTATTATTTTAATAAATTTGCTTTGCAAATGATAATGAAAGTTGAGTGTAGTTTAAAAAGATACTACAAATGCAAAAAATTCAAAATCGATCTCAAAATAAAGAATAAAATTTACTGTCGTCGCAAAAGATATATATACCATGACAATCAACAACTTTTAAATTAGGGTGTGGGTGTGGAGATTGAAGAAAATTCACACTTGTACCGTTCTCTTTATCGTCATACCCACACTCACATCGTCAAATATACTTTTTCCTCCTACAATTAACAGAAGCTTCTTTATTTCTTTTCAAACATCACATTTTATTGATCGTTCATATTTCGAAATATTTTACGTCAATGAAACTTTTCTATATTGTTTTATTAGTTTAAAATAAATATTTTAAAGTCTCGATAATCACAACATGTTTAGTTCTATGCTTTCAGAAAATTTTGTAACTAGGAATATTATTATTGATTAATGAAGCACCGCACCGTTCAATGTATAATGATGGATTTATCATCAATATCCATAACCACAAAGTCTTGTCGAAATTCTTGATATAAAGTGAAGTTAAATGTTAGTCTGTATTGTGTAATGTTCGTAATAGGGTAGTAAAATGTTAATGAATAAACAGAGGTTGGTCATCGATCAGTCTTAGCAATGCAAGAGAACACTGACGGTGCTCGAACCATAATTTGCAACAATAATATCAGGTTTGTAATCACTATTCACATCGACGACTACTACTGA